CCCCCCCCAAGAGTTAATGGCCTCAATAAATGCCTTTTCAAGGGATCAATATCAATCCTTTTATGAGGAGTACGCAATGCATTATTTGAACCACAGCTGCGCAAATGTGTTTGTGACGAATCACCTGCTAAATTGAACCAGATGTTGTCGTTCAAATATCAAGACTTTTGACATCTCAATAATGCTGTGGATTGTGACTCTCCGCCACTCCCCTCTTTTGTCACTAATATAGCTAATTTATTGCATTACAATATATTGTCATTCATTCATTTATTCTCTTTAAAAGGGATTCACTACCCACACAACCAAAGTTCTTGTCAGGCAGGCTTAGAAATAAAGTAACATGATAGAGGTGCCTCCCCTGATATTTTCTGAGTTTTACAACGCTATATAAATATATTTGTTTTTTTAACGTGTCACAATGATTGTGTTTTTGGACGCTGAAATGGATTAATAGCATTTCAATTCATTTTAATGGGGAAAATCTGACATCATGGATCCAAGTCAAGGTACTGTTTCAGTAGGAGTTGGATTCCATTTAATTTAATTCAAACTCATACCAAATTCGTTCTGACGCAAAATGCTTAATGTGTTGCTTGACTCGATGTTTTAGCAGCTGAGTTGAGTCCACTCTCACGCGTGATGCACTCCTCCTTCTTGCAGTAATAGACGTGCAAGCCTTTGAGCGCCTCCTGGGCTCCTGTAAAGAAATCATGAAGAGGAACATCGCCCATTACGAGGAGCAGCTGGTGGCCCTGTTCGGCTCGAGCATGGACCTGAGAGACTGAGCCTCCCACTCCACCCTCCGTGCCTTCTACCACACACACACACACACACACACACACACACACTGGCAACACAGACGCATAATAAGCTTTACCCATACTGTCTAAACATGAGAGATTGTATTTGGCTCACATGGAAAGGAATAAAATTGATTTTTTTTTTTTTGCACATACACTGACACGACCACCTGCATATTCACTTACACATGCACTCCCTGATAAATATACACACATGCAGATGGTAGGCCACACGCTTGTTTTTTTTTTCACATCAGATTCAAGTTTTCAGCACGAGTGTCTTGGCTGTATGCAGGCAAAGCAGCGGTCAGACATGCAACAAATGAATAAACACACACACACAAACACACACACACACACACACACACACACTCCATTCACAATGTTTTCCAAAAATGCATTACCACTCGCGCTTTCTATGGCAGTCTTCACTATCACAAGAGCATTTTAACAGCTCTGAGTTGCCTCAGCCAAGGACACACACTCAGATACAGGTGGGTACACTAAGTCAACACAAAACCACATTTGCAAAAACACAAAATTGAGCTGACAAACTAAAAAAACAAAAAACAAAGTTAAAAAAATGCAAAAAAAGTTTAATGAAGACTAAAGTTTTAGAAACATTTTATGAAGATAAAAAAACAGAAGCTTTGATAAAATATTATTTAAATATATATATATACATATATATATTTAAAAAAAAAAAAGAAGTGTTTTCTCCCTGATAGGCCGGGGTGCAGAACAATGTGAGGGCACTCCATTTCTTCATCGACTGTTGTTGAGTTCAGTTAGTGCTGGTGGTTATTACAGTACCACAGAGGAAGTGGTGACATCCTCCATTTCTCTGACTTTATTCTATCGTTGACGCCACACTTCATTGTATTGAATTAATTATTAATGTGTTGCTATCATATTCATTTTTTTGTTTTGACCAATTGATAATTTCACCCTTAATCTCTGTAAAAACAGAAGAAAAGCTAATAAAAATTATTAGTGCTTATTTCTCCTCGATTATCCTAAATGAGTTGTCCTGGATGAAAAGAAAACAACAAAAAAAATAAAGGAAAACTTTTGTTAAAAAAAAAACGGTTGTCTCCGTAATATTTTTGAATACTGCAGTTGTTCTGTTGGAAATTATTTGTTTTTGGAATCAAAGTTATGAGATGATGTCGAACGGTTCAATGTATTCCAGTGAGGATCTTGTATATATTAATTGAATACAGTGCTGTATTTTGAAGCATTCATTCCATGTACTCGTTGTTACATTTATGTGCAATACCACTCCCGTGCGAATGATGGCAGACGAGGACCATGTGAGCAGAAAGAGCCACCGGCCACACGTTTCTATCTTCGAGTAATGGCAGTATTTTTGGTAATGAAGCTGTTCCTGGAGCAGTTTGGCAGTTCTCATGAGCGCTACAAGCCAGGAAAACCCACAGCTGGCCGGCTGTTTCAGGAGCAGGAGTTACCCGTACTGTCGACCGAGCGACACACATGTAAGTATCGTTATAGCGGGAGTCTGGAAAATACCGTGTGTCGTATCTTGCTCAAGAAAATGTCAACATTCAACACGAAAAGTTAGCACCACTCGCTAGCGTTCAGTTTTACCTTTCGTCACTTCCTCTAGTTTTTAGGAAAATGGCAAGCGAGGAGGGACGAATTTTACGGATTTCCAATACAAGAAATTTGGCCTCTAAGTTCACCATTCAACCCGTCTAGTAAAATTCCGTGCTATATTAGAATTGATACTTTTCGAAGAATAATAGTAGAAATAATGCTACTGGATATCGTCGTTTTAACTAGACCGTCCTTGTATCACTGCTTTCCAAAAAGTCATTCGTGCATATTGATTTATATTTTTTATAATTGCTATGATCTCCATCTTAACGTCCATGTACTACTAGTGTCCTCTGTCCTCATTAGAAAGAATGCAGCGCACGAGTATAACTATTATCTGATAGTCTGACCCCACCCCATGAGCTCGACACCCGCTTGCCTCTATTGTCCACTAGGGGAAGCTACAGTTAGGTCTCCATTTATACTCAACGGTGTTTGCAAGCCATTAATGTGTAAAGGGACACTTTTAAAATTCTAAAGATCTGGTGGCACATAACCAACAGTCTCAAAGCATATCTATAATGAAGCAAGATCTCGCATTTATTTACCCACATCATTGGTTAGTGTGAAATCAAGTTAAACACAAAGCAATTACCTTGAAGGAATGACGACACCGTTTAATTGTACCTTCTCCATCTAGTGGAGGACCGTTTAATATTTCAGCCAGTCGATATATGTTGCTGACACGGATAGAAGAATAATGATGCGATATTTGTGGTAAAATACTTTTTATGTGGCAATAATGTTGCGACAGTGCTTGAAAATCACTGTTATACTTTTTCCACCTATTTTATATGAATAGGCAGCATCACGCTTCATTGAGATCGTGTGCTTCCCCTGGTTATACGGTACAATGGTACTTTGACTTATCCTACACATTTTTCGAGGCGTGAACCATTGCTTGGGCGATTTATTTTTCTGTTGTGTTGCAATGCGAATTTGAATTACAAATAAGCTACAGATATGCCATCATTAGACTTAAGTATGTGTGTGTGTGGGGGGGGGGCGGGGGCGACAGTCGTTGATGCAATTTGAGGCGTTTGTTGAATGATGAAAACAGTCAAACACACCCAAAGAGTATGGAGAAGACATTTCCACCTATGCCCAACCCGTCTCAAACGCTAAGCCATGCTTCTTAAGGCACATGCCAAAACACCATTACTACAGTGTGTGCGACTTTTGACTTGATTATATTTTATAAAGCCAGTTTATTTCCTTCCAAACTATGTTGTATGCTCTTTCTTTAATATTTTCCAATACAATGCTGTTTTTTTCCTTTATTAGCAACCTTTGTCATTGAAACAAATTCATCAGTCAGGGTACCATTTTAGTTTCTAAAAACCATTGTTTTTTCAGGATGGACATTTCCTATCACTGCATAAAGGCTAACCTGAATTAAACTATGATCACCGCAGGGCTGAGTCTGGAATGCCAGTTACCAGCGACGGGCTCGATATGAACCTTCATTTTCGGACAGCCTCTGAGCCTTCAGTGTTGGATGATAAAATTCAAGTAAAAAGTCAAGCAGAACCTGAGCCAGGAGAAGAGATCCACGTTATTCCGATCCACCTGCGCCCGGACCTGTTGCTTCCCTGCGCTGACCTGGTCAACTCCGAGTGGCACAGGAGCCAGACCGCCCGCGTCCACTCGCTGCAGAAATCCTGCCCGGATTTCCCCATCTGTCTGGTTCTCCTGCGGGGTCCCAGAAATGTAGAGAAGGTGCTTGGACACGCCCGGCTGTCAAGAGTCGTAGGCCACGGCGGCAGCCTGTTTGTGGAGTCGGTGGTCGTGTCGAAGGCAGAGAGAGGCAAAGGCTACGGGCGAACTCTGATGAAGAAGACTGAGCTTTTCGCTAAAAGGGAAGGGTTCAAACGATTGTGCTTGACCACCCACGATAAGCAGCACTTCTATGCCCACCTCGGCTACACGCTGTCCACACCGGTGCAGAACGCAGGATCCATGGCGTCATTTGTTCCTATGGAGATGCTTCTCAGGTTCTCCGGGATCCATAATGGCGAGGTTAACATGCAAAAACAAACAGAAAAGGTCGAAAAAGGGAACCCAGTTGGGTCTACTCGACCTCCTCCTCCTCCTTGTTTCCTCCCTCCTCCACCTCTGCCCTCTGTCATACCTCCTCCTCCTCCTCCTCCACCTGCTTCCATCCCTCCTCCAGCTGAAGGAGTACCTCTGATTCAGACTCTCACAGAAACCCCCTACAGAGACGCAAAGGGAGCATCTGTGTTTTGGATGCACAAAGACCTCTAAATGGCACCTGCGGGGGTAAACAGTCTAAATAAAGAAACCAACAGAGGAAAGATGGAGAGAAAAGTTTGTTCTGATGTCAAGTTATTAAGTAATGTCCTGTTTACTCACAAGACACAACATTAGCATTATTGACACTGTAAAAGTGGTGAGTACAGTAAATCCTTTACCCGGTAAACGAGCCAGCCAGCTACAGGCGTTGTCTGATTTCTCAGGTTTTCTTTTCCGTTTTGGAAAAGTCCGCCTTGAAAATGAATTTTCAATCGTCTACACTGTAGTCCTTCACCGCCGGCTTCATTTAATGAATCTCACACGAGCCGCTCTGAACTAATCAGAGGACTCAAAAGTGCTGATGTCCCCCGACGCCTTCGCAAAGGCCCTGTGTTGACACACTAAATAAAGATACTAAGTACCGTTATGCTTTTGCTGACTTTTTCTTTTACTAGTAAAATTCTGTACATTTTTTTTAACGAATGACTGCTCTTTCCAACTGCTCATAATTCCTTCCAAATTCTCTAAGGCTTCATGTGCAGCAGAAAAAAAGAAGAAAAAAAACAGTCTCAAAGCAAAATCATGGTTGGTATAGTGACGAGCATTTTGGAATTATGGCCAAAAAGTTTACTCGGCCTTGTTTCATCCATCCATTCATTTTCTGAACCGCTTATCCTCACGAGGGTCGTGGGCCTGCTGGAGTCTTTCCCAGATGTCTTCGAGCAGTTGGCGGGGTACACCCTGAATTGGTTGCCAGACAATCGCAGGGCTCACATCAACGAACAACCATTCGTGCTCACAATCACACCTAAGGGCAATTTACAGTGATCAGTTATTTTACCATGCATGTTTTTGGAATGCTGGAGAAAAATAGACTACGCTGAGAAAACCTACGCAGGCACGATGAGAACATACAAACTCCACACGGGAAGGCTGGAGCCCGGAATCAAATCCATGACCTCTGCACTGTGAGGTGGACGTGCTAACAAATCGACCACAGTGCCGCCCACTTATTGTCATGTCTATTATTTTAATTCTAGGTCCTTTTCAGAGACTTTGTAAGTTAAGTTAAATAATTTTCCCCCTCTCTATTGCACATCATTATCTATACTATTTTTCATATCCAAGTATCTGTGCTTGTACTTAAGAACGGAGTGTGAGTGCTTTTAATTTTACTCAAGTGTGTGATGAGTACTTTTCCCCCCTTCTGCCCCCACGGAAGGACCGCCCGTGCTTCTCTTCCCTCCCAGTCTGTGCTTTGCTCCCTTCCAGTAGGACTCCAACCCGGGTTTTTCCACGCGCAGGAGCAGAAAAGTTTCGCTCCCCACTGGAGCAAAGCGACGTAAGCGCCTCTTGTTGTGTCCCACAGTTTCGGAGCAAGTGGACCCGAAGGACGAGCAGTGGGTTCGGACACCGATACCGGAGCGCACATCTGAACGGAATCACCGCGGTGAGTGTCCGCTTCCCTGTGGCGTTTAATGACCGTACGTAAATTGGAACCATTTAGTATTTTTTTAACCCACTCGCACACAAATTCGGTGGAAATAAAATCAAGACGTCCTATTGAAAGACTCGTCGCGTGCTCTTGGAATATCAATATATGTATTTATTTTTTTCTAACTAGTAGGTCAAAGTATTTCAAAGACATGCGGTGCGGTTGCTGAAGTTTCCAACTTTCTCCCGCAGGTTGTCTGTGTGCGGCTGTGAGATGCAAGCGTCACTGTTCGTGTTGGTCTGCGGTGAGTGCACTGCACGCCCGCACCTTTTGAAGTCCAGGCTTGGTTTTTGATCCTTAAGAAATCTTTCAGAAGTCATCCAGTGGTGGACTTGCCGAGGCATTAATGATTGTCTTCAGGTCACTGGAGGGCTACACATGAACTCGTTCATGTTGGCTGCACAAAAACAAGTCAAATGTTCCAAACAAGCCAGATCATTTAAGCAGCATTTATGGGGCTGGGGCGCACACCGTACATGCGCAGAAGGCAGAGGGCCACTTTCGAGTCACCGTTTGTCTTTTTGACAATTAATTTTCAGGGATCCAAAGTCTGGCAAGGGCACCATTGAAAACTTGTTTTTCTATTGGCCCAGTCTTGGAACTAAAAAGTGAAGATAAATATAATTTTAAGTTAAATGTTTTCCTCGGCAAACTGTAAATTGAAGTTATTTTTCGTGTCCCCTCACATCCCTTTTTTTCCCGTATGCGGCCCTCGGTTAATAATGACTTCATCATATGAATTTGTATTTTTGTAAATGAAAATACAAAAGACAAACATTTCAAACAACGTATTTTTCTAATAATAAAATAACTACTAAAAGCCCAACCCTCCCTCCACTTCCCTCGTGCATCGTTCTGTTTTCTGTATGCGGAAACATTTTGGACAGACAAATCATTTGCCTAAACGAATGTAAAGTCCACAAAAAGAGACATTTTCGCAAAGCGTTCATACACGGGCACGTGGTTCGTAAGTCTGCCTCACAATCTCAGGAGATCAGGGTTGGAACATCTGTGTGGGCCCTCCAGATTCCAAAAAGATGCACGTTCATTTAAGACTCTTAATAGGTCATGAGTGTGAATGTGATTTGAATGGTTGTTTGCCGGTTACAATCTGTGTCCTGCGATTGACTTGCAACCAGTCCAGGGTATAGACTTTGGCGTTGGGACACACCCAGGACTGGTGGCCAGTCAATCACAGGGCATCATTTCAGGGCTGTCAAACCCATTTTCGTCACGGGCCACATTTTAGTTACAATTTCCCTGAAATCAGATAAAGAAGTCAAGAGTAACAGTTTATGCAGCTATTGTTTAAGTTACTGTCATGAGGTTTTTAGCAACAACAAAATGCTGAAAATGTCTCTCTTATTTATTACATATGAGAATTTTAAATTTTGCTATATGTTTTGGCAAGCATCATGGAAGTTGCCATGTTTGATTGGCTTTCGCGGGTCACATAAAATGATGTGGCGGGCCAGATCTGGCCCCCGGGGCTTGACTTTGACACCTGTGCTTTAAGCAATCATTGTACAATATTTGCTTATTAATGAGGGTCCTTTCCAAGAATTCTTTTGCAAATAAAACACATTGCAGTGAACTATATTCAGCTTTCAATATCACTTAATCAAATATGTGCACTAACCAGCCATAATTTTATGACCATTTAGAATTTTTTTATCATATCTAATACAAGAAAGAGCTGGATCAAATATTTTGCCTTTTCAACAATAGCACCGTCATAATTATTTTTGATTTACACAAGCTAATTATTTTAGTAGTGTGCGTTCAACTGAGGGTTGTTTCTTCAAACTTTCACATGTGGGGGGGAAAATAGCCTCCAAGTGTGTTAATAAATTCAACAGATTCAAGCAAGGAAAAAATGTCAAGGTCAGTGTTGCCAATCTTTCTTACTATTCATCATAACTATCCGGTTACGTGTGGCTGAACTATTAATGTATAATAGCTGCTTGGTTGAGATTGATGACAAAGACCTCTGTGGGTGGCGTCCCTCCTCTTTACGGTCCTCTTAAAATACCCCAGCTGAATCCGCAAACACACAATTACAATACCTATCGCAATGCACACGTGTTTGTGTGTGTCCGTCCCATGACGTTTTGCACGAAAAGGCTGAAAATGTATCAATATCTACGAAATCCAGAAAATAAGAAAGCTGCGCAAAAATCCAGTTCTCAGATTTACACATTTTCAGACAAGAAACCGGCTAATGGTTGAATGTTCTCACAAAATATTATTGTCAGTAAGATGCCATCCAGCATGTCTGCCTTTTATGGACAGCGTGCTGCTGCTGTTGGGCTCGGCATTTTTGGCGCGTGCCTCGTCGCAAATCCGCCAGCTCATCTGGATATAATGGTGCTCACGCTGCTTCAAAATTGTCAAACACTTTCCATCATTAAAAACTCTCTTTACTGTACGGCAACGTTTTCAATCACATTTTAATGTGCCCTCGATGTTGTACAGGTGTGAAAATAAGTTAACCACCATCGAACATAAGAACCATGAACTCCTCTAACTTTAACTTCGATAAATTGACGTAGAGTGAAGCTTGACTCTTACAAAGTGTGTAAGTCCACTTGACTTGTTTTTCACATCGGAAAATTTGTCAACTGTTGACAACATTCAAACGTCATAAATAGTACCGACGTTTTTAAAGGAGTCACACTCTGCATTTAGAATTAAAAACTGTTCCCGGGTCTGACTAAAAGCAATTGCCTTTTATGCTTTTGTCAAAATACCTAAAGGATCAATTATTGCATGGTGTCCATTTTCTACTAATGGCCAATTCTGAGTTGGCCTTAGTTACAACTGAGTTTTGAGGTGAGCAAGCAACTATGACCATGAGAAGAAAAAGAGATTCAAAGTTTGATTGTGAATTCACACACGGAGGCATCCGTCACCGAGCTGGTATCAATTTGGTTAGCAGATCCATGCATGTGGCACATGCAGTGAAACACACACACGTAATTATGTATTAATTCCGCAATTTTTGATTATTTATATTTATATTATTCATATTGTACTGAGCAGCCAGACCCTTTTGATATGTCGCAGTCTTCACATCCCAATGCTGTCAAAGTGTTCCTCATATCCCATATGATTTGTATTTATTTACGTATTTTTTCTAATTGTGATTTTCTTTGAGAGGGAAGACACAAGAAGGTGGGGAGTGCTTGTTTTTTTTTTTCTTTTTTTACAACATGAAGAGCGGAGGTCACGATTGAGTGCTTTAGAATGTGCCCTGCGACCAAAGACCCCCACAATCGATCCCCACCCCCAATTAGCATAAGGATGTGGGCAAAGGGATGCCCCCAGCATTTGTCACAAAGTCGCCGCTGAGGTGCCCTTGAGCAACAATTGCAAGCTTAGTTTGGAATCCCGAATCGCTTGTGAAGAAAAGCTGAGAGGAAAAGCGGACGAAGGAAATGGCGGTGGAGAATTTGGGGGTTTAAACATCCCACACCGTCATGAGACACAATGACAGACAGCTGGGGATGAAGACTTGCGATGCCTTTCGGGGCAAGGCGGATGACTCATTTCCAAACCCTCGGGGGTCACAGACGTTAATTGGTGTTTTGGCCTCTTTGTGCATGTACGTGTGCGTGTTTCACTTGGACAAAAACACCGGTGGTGTCCCCTCGTTGTCACTTTTCCCCTTTCTGCATTTGCATTTCTTTGGGATGAGTGAATTTGTGTGTGTGTGTGTGTGTGTGCGCACGCGCGGTCTGTACTGTCAATGTGTGTGTGTATTGTGAGTATCGTGCGTGTGGGCTTGCTTGCGTGTTTGTGAAGGGCACATCAAAGTGGATTTGAGGCAAGGCAAATCCTGGTTAATTCAACTTTTCCTGCACGTTGACGAGTGTAAGGACATGGGGGTTCTCGGCTTCGAGCCATTTTGTGTGTGTGTGTGTGTGTGTGTGTGTGTGTGTGTGTGTGTGTGTGTGTGTGTGTGTGTGTGTGTGTGTGTGTGCGCGCGCGCGCGCGCGCTCTCGCAACTCTCGCAGGTGAAGGCGGGTTTAAGGCAATGGGAGTTTGGGAGTGTGTCTCAGTGGCCTTTTGTTAGCGACAGCCTCCGGAAATGTGTAGATATCGGAACAATGGTGCGGCAAAGCCCACAAAGCAGCAGCTAGAGAGAGAGAGGGGCGAGAGAGAGAGAAGGGCAGGAAAAAGTAAAAAGAGCAAGAAAGGCTTAGATAGAATTTGGAAACAAAGAACAAGGGGGCTGGGCCTTTGGGGTGGGTGCAAAAGGGAGGGCAGAGAGAGGGAACAGGTTGGTTTATATGAAAGGCTCGATCAGTTGGGTTTTTGTCAGTTGGAGCTTTTCTGTCTGAAAAGTGGAGGTGGAGATAAAGGTGGGGGAGGATGAAATGAGAAATGGATCTGGCCTCATTAAAAACAAAGGCCCGACCGGCCGAACCGAAGGATTACTGATGTCCTACTCGGGGAGGCGCGCGGGGGCCGGGGGGTAGCGTTTGACATTCTAACCCAGAGAACATTTGACTTCTCGTGGTAGCAAGGTGACAAATACAAAAGGAGTTTTCTTGAAGTGCAATCGATCAGGAATTTAGACAACCAAATGTTGTTTGTGGACTCGATTGGCTCGGCAAACAGTCCTGTGTTGGACTCATTATAATTCGGTTTTTCTCTTTACACAATATGAAAATTTTAGAGTGTGCATTTGAGAGTCTGAGTACATGTGTGTGTGTGTGTGTGTGTGTGTGTGTGTGTGTGTGTGTGTGTGTGTGTGTGTGTGTCTGGATTTCAGGCAAAGCAAATGACAGTATTTTCTTCACTGATGTCCCCGCTGCCATCTGTGATGGCATCACAAAAAAAGTGTCAACTTTCGATTTGAGACGTGCCCCTGTAGTTACTTTAAATCGGAACGTTCTGGTCTTTTTTTTTGTTGTTGTTTTTTCCTCTTGGAAGAGTCTCAATGTTATTTCCACACTCTCTGCCCCTTGACATTTTATTTTCCGAGTCTTTTATTTCTGCCGCAAATCCCCCGGCCTAATGGTAATGACAGGCTGCGTAAAACAGCCCTCTTAAACACCTTGGGAACTTGAGAATTCGAATTATCTAATTTCAGAGAAGGTGCAATTGCATTGCGATATTGTCAGGAGGGAATTGGATCTCTCACTCACACACACACACGCACACACACACACACACACACACACACACACACACACACACACACACTGGACAAAGCTTGTGAACATGAGCCAGCTGTCA